CCCAAAACCCCAAAACCCCAAAACCCCAAAACCCCAAAACCCCTTTTTTAAATAAAAAGATTGAGTTGTTAATATGATTATCTTTTAGACAAAACTTAGCTGAACATCGCTTCCTGCATTTGTCAATTTTAGACCAGTCTCTTTCACTGAATGCAAGCTTGCAATGAAAAAAGAGTGAACTGATAATGTAGGATTCTTCTTTTTCATGACTCTAAAGATATCATTGAACATGTCTGGAGGAACTTGGGTTTTGACAACTTCTTGCTCATTATCGACCTTGATTCTTTTATACGGTTCTTTTCTTCATCTGCTGATTCACATTTTTGAGATAATCTTTTTAACCTAAAAACTTATTAACCAAAACAAAGAAATTTGAAATTTGTCATAAAATATCGAAACAATCTAATTAACCGAAGATTCTTTAGCATCTAAATTTACCTTAATTATATCAATAGTCCTTGAAGTCAGAAATATTCCTCCTTTCTCTTCATCATCAAAGGAATAATCAAACCCACCATTAGCATCAGAAAAGATTGAGTGCTTATCTAAAACCTCTTGCTTCTCCGCTTTCTCATATTTTCCTAGTTTATCTGCCAATGTTTGATTCGACTGTGAGTCAAATCTCACAGAACCAACTGGTTCAGAAATACGCTCTAAATTAGTCAGACTTCCTTACCGATATCTATCAGGTCTTGCTCTTGGTCAAGTTCTGATCTTATTTGGAGTCCTCTGGATATGACATCTGGGTGTGCTTTTGAGATATTTAAGTGAATATCTTCTTCAGATTCCAGACTACAACTATCGACTTCATTGCTATTCTCTTTAGAAAATATTAGCTCATCGAGTGAGTCTAGCTCAAAATCATAATTTGGTTCAGGCTGAGTTTTCACATCCAAAGTTAATGTTTTTGGAATATAAAAATCAGGTGGGGTTTTCATTCAAATCTGAAAATTCCTAGGATAATAAGCAAAGCTCTTCCGAAGAATTCGGAAATATTCTATCCCATCCTTTTGGAGATTTCTATTCAGTGCAAAGATTCCTCTGGAGTACATCTCAGAAGATACTTCAGTAGTGAGAACTCGTTTAGCACGGGAGTTACTACTTCTTTCATTCACTAAGGAGTCAATTTTTAAATTTGAGTTTTTTCAATTATTTTTCAGTCTAGATTTCTTCAGAAAGATTCTTTCATATTCTCTGACAACCTGCTTCTTAACTCTCCGTGGACGTTTGTGCGATCGATTCTTTCTTTGATGTTTATTTATCTGCACTCTTTTGTTCTGAACATTAGTATCGCTAGTCTCAGTTGGCTCAAAGTTTATTGTTTGAAAATTTGAGAATGATTGGTCTTCGCTAAAATTTAATAAGTCAGATTTAAAGTAACTTTGGCTTATTTCCCTAAGATCATTGCCATTCTTTACTCTTTTGTCAATAAATTTGTCTAAGTCTCTTGAAATTTCTCCCTGATTCTTGGTATACTTAAGAAGATTCATGAGCGATATTTTAGCTTTAGATTTAAGAGCATTATACTCATCAGGAGAAGTCTCAAGATCTTTCCAACTGACATCATGAATATTAATTCTATCTTCAGATTTAGAGAGGATCTGGCTTTTAGAGTCTCAGTCTTCGATTTCTTCATAATATTCTTGTTTAGTAACTTTCTTTACCTTCATTCTGTTTCTAGTAGCATTTATGAGTTCAAGGTCTTTACAAGTAGCTGTTTCATAACTTATCTGAGGTTGGAAGATATCAGGCTCGATCTGGTCATAATTTTGGAAGGATCCCTGAGTTGTATCTATAGTCTTCATACCAACTGTATTCATTTTCTTCCATAAGTCATCTCATGGGGTTGAAATATCATCAAAAATACGTCTTTGACTCTGCTCCTGGAGTCTAACTTTTTGTGAAATAATCTTTCTTTGTCGCTGATATAATATATTTTTGGAGGTGGATTCTAAATTATTGATTTTTACTTCAAGTAAAGAGCTGATAGCTTTGATATTGTCTGACACTTTTGTCCAGGTATTTTCTTCTCCATAGTTGTTGCCATTGATTTGGCTGAGAGTGGCTTCTAATCTTTTGTGTAGAGGTAAAGAATCAAGCATAAAAGGGTTAGTCACTTTTCTGAGTTTGTCTTTGCTAAAGCAATAAAGTTTGTCGTATATATCTTGATCATCCTCTTCTAGGTTTATGTCAATAGCATTGGGACCTTTAGGAACAACATTGGCTTTGTTTCAGTCTGTAGAGTACTTCATTTTGGATTTTGTTTATTTAAGTGCTTAATTTTTCAATTTATGTAATCTATGCGGGGTTTTGGGGTTTTGGGGTTTTGGGG